GATGTCACCGTATGGTTGCGTGTCGTATTGGGTCCGTACGATAGCAATGAAACGACATCGTTTCTTTGTAACGTAGGTTTCTGGGTGGTAGGCCATTGGGCTTTTAAATAGGCCTGTTTAATTTTTGTAAAAAAATTTAAATAATTAATTGTACTTTATTATCCTAAAAGTTTAAATTAATTTAAAAAAAAAAGATATTCAAGATTGAACAATTATAGTCTATTTATAAACTTATATAGGTTTCTATATAAACAAATAAAAAAATAATAGTGAAAATATACCATAAGTTGGAAAATAATTTCTCACATTTTTAAAAAAATAATAATAATAATAAAAGTAACATATTTACACTTGAAGTATTTTTTTTTTTTTTTTTTTTCCAAATAAACAAGATTACAAACCAAAGAAATTTGCCAGATTATGGAGGATGAAATTTTTCCTTTCAGAAATAATCTCAGCAGCCTTGACCATCCTCTTAAAAAGAACTAAATCCACACAAAAAACCAGAAGGGGGAAGTCAATATTATGTAAAACAAAAGTGAACAATGACATGATCGAGAATTTCTCCCCCCCCAGATTCTCTCACTTCCTTTCTTTCTTTCTTTAAACCTAAACAAGAATATCTGGCTAATATGTTTAAGGCTCTTGAATTTCATTCTCTCCACCACTATGTCTATCAGCTGCACTTGGAGAAGCTTGATTTATGCTATTCTCTGGGCCCGCCTCGCCTCCATCTTTGGTTAGATACTCGAGAGCTGTTACGACATCGCTCATCACTGGTCGAGTATCAGCTTCTTCTTGCAGACACATTGCTGCAATGGCAAGTGCCTGGTACAGACCCTTTATAGGGTACTTACCGTCCAGCAATGGATCAGCCATTAAAGTGAACTTCCTCCTGTCTTTAAACAATGGTGTTGCCTGCATAAACACAACAAATATATGACCAAAATATTTAGGCTTGTGGCAATTACTGATGTGCTTGGTATAAAATGTTTCATCTTTTCTCGCGTTTAGAGATCTTATCAGACATATTTTGAACAAAATTGGCAATCAATGATCTGTTTGAAATTCATTTTTTGTCGGGTGATGATACAAATTTATAGTTGTGAAATTGAAGATATTTATGTCTAGAATTCTAGAGTTGTTATTCGTGTGAGAGAGAAAATAATAAGTGTTATATACCCAAGCAACCAGGTTTTGCTCTTCTGTTGGTCTTGAATGGTCAATGACTCTTCTTCCTGTAATCATCTCGAGAAACACAACACCGAAGCTGTAGACATCAGATTTTGAGGTCAACTGGCCGGTGAGAGCATACTCTGGTGAACAATAGCCGTAGGTGCCCATCACCCTGGTGGACACATGGGTTTTACCCCCGGTTGGACCAAGTTTTGCAAGACCAAAATCAGAGAGCTTAGGATTGAAATTTTCGTCTAACAGTATGTTTGATGCTTTAAAATCACGGTATATCACTGGAGGATCTGCTGTTTCATGTAAGTACTCAAGTCCTCTTGCTGCACCTTCTGCAATTTTCATTCTAGTAGCCCAATCCAAAGGTGTCCTATTTGGATCTAAATCTGAAAAGACCAAATCCCATTTAACTTAGTTCATTTTACAAACTTCAAACGTTAAATAATTGAGTCACTTATTCAAACTGTACTTTTACGAAACGTAGCTGAAATTTATAATGTAGAACAATAAAATTTTAGCGTATATACCAAGCAAGTGATCTTCCAAAGAGCCATTAGGCATGTATTCGTACACCAATATTCTTTGATCGCCATCAGCACAATATCCAACTAAATTGACAAGGTTAGGATGGTGAAGAAGACTCAACATTAGAACCTCTACAAGGAACTCTCTGTTTCCTTGATATCCATTCCTGTCAAGTTGTTTAACAGCAATGACCTGAATGTAATAAACAAATCAAAATATAAATTAATACCTGTTTTTACAAAAACCCTTTCCATTTTTGTTTTTTAAATTACATGGAACAAGAATATAAAAAAAAAAGAACTTTACTTGATTCTTCTCTTCAATCAACCCTTTGTAAACCCTCCCAAATCCCCCTTCGCCAAGCTGATTATCAGAATTGAAATTCCTAGTTGCAGCACACAGCTCGCGGTATGTGAAAATCTGAGCTGTTATGTTCCCTTTTCCGAGTTTTGTTACTTCTGCAGCTATATATCTTCGTCTGCTGCTATCTGGAATTAAAAGAAAGTTTCTTCAAAAACTGCTAATCACATTCATATCTTGATATCACAATCTTTAATAGACAAAAGAACAGTTCGAATTTTTTTATACAAGTATATCTATCAAATGACAGAAAATCCAATAGGAACGATGCATTGTTCACAAGTATCATGAAAATTTATTTATAGGATATATGGAAGGTTAGGATTTTTCTTAATTTTGTAAAAGATTAATTATAGTAAAAAGTCCTTCCATGCATGGATCATTCATGTGGTGAAACATTTCTTAACACTTTGTTTTCCTGTAAATCAAGGTACGGTACGTTTTCTCCGAAGAATAAGCATTCAAGAAAGGCCATTCAGAAGATAAACCAGACCTTTCTGGGAAGATAATATAGAAATAAGAGTTAATAATGCAAATTAACAAGAAGAAAAAGAAGAGATTGATACCAGTTTTGAAGGAGATATTAGCAAATGAAGCTAAAGTTTTGGTATCATGATAGTCCTTAATGCTCTTCTTCAAAGATTTTCTGCTTTGTTCTTCAGCTGAAATGCAACATGAAAAACAGTTCATTTTCATCTCCTTCTAATCATCGTCGGATTCAACAAACACCCAAAAACTTGAATTGTTTTCTCCAGTCGAAATCTGGGAAAATAACACTTTTAAAAGTACCCCAACAATAAATCTTGCAGAAAACTATAAACTTGATGAGAGATCAAAGGCACCCAATTCAGGAAGGTTGGATTTGCTGAGTTAAAAAAAAAAAAAGATTGACCCTGAAAGAAACCAAAACCAATATGGTCATTCAGGAGAAACAAGAAATTTTTGCAAAAAATATTTGCTCCTTCCTTTCTTTCTTTCTTTTTTTTTTTTTTTCCTTTCTTCCCTTCTTTTTTCTTTCCCCCCTCCTAATCCAATGAACTCGGATAGGAGAGGAGATCTGGTCAAATTCAGATTTATTAAATTAATTTTTATTTTTGGCTACACAAATTTGCTATATTCAGAGGCCGAGAAATTCGTTTGCCTACCCATCTTATTTTCTTTTTTTTCCTGTTCGAGGAAGCTACCTATCTTATATTTCAAGGACCAAATATGGGATATTTTTCTGAATAGTTTCATACAAATATATACATATATATATATATATAAATAACAACAAAGGACGATAAACATTCAGATTTTATAAAGACCTTGGAAAATACTGTATTATAAGTCATATATGCCTATAAATGATCTCTACAACCATCCCGCGTATATCAGATTACAACTAATTCTGTTAATAGGAAAGATTATCTTAAGAATTTTCTATCTGCACCAGGATGAATTTTGGTAAAACCATCATCAAATATACACATACAAAGCAAATATACTGCTAAATTATATGTTCGAAGGATCTGTAACAGATACCTATTTTTCCCTTTTCTTCATGAAATTTTGAATCGTAAGGCCGCCAATGGAAACTACCGCCAGTTAGTCCAAAGCCAACCGCAAATTCTGATGTTTCAGACATTTGATTTTATCCCATTGAGCTGCTCTGAGTTCACCATTGTTTATCGGATTAGGCTTTGGCACCAACTATTGAAACCTCTCCCCCATCTCCAAAGTCGAATCAGAGGAGAGAAAAGACCGAATCTTTGTCTTACCGCACGGTCATCATCTTCCTCGTTTCTACTGATTTTGGTCGACCTGGTAATGGGTTTCTTTTAAACGACTCGGGTCCCTTTAAATCCAAGCTAGAACTGCAGGAGCAAGTGCCGCATCGGAAAAGGCGCAGATGTCTTCAGTATCTTCTCAGATTCCGGGAACAGATCTTTCCAGCCACAAAGACAAAAAAGCTTCTTGCTTGGTTTCATTTCCACTTCCCATAAACTTCTTTATCCATTTTGTTAGCCTAGCTTTTTTATCTGAACCGCTCTGAATTTTCAATCTTTTTTTCTCTTAATTTCTCTTCAAACTCCTTCATTTCTTCATCAGACGAGAATACAGAGTCGCCTAAAATGGAGTAGCCTCCCAAAATCATTAAGTCTTCCAAAGTGACGGTAGCTTTCCCCAATGAAGGATAAACGTGTTAGTATCCGGACACCATTCTTCAGCCAGGGAAGAAACAAGCTCCTGGTCTCTTAAGATCCTGTAAGTCGAACTCAGCATTGCTTCATGGGTTCCAGCTTCTTTCCAAACAAATTCATACTTAGGAGATCGACCCGTGACTGCCAATCCTGAGTTGGCCACCACCAACCGGTAAAAGAATCCTTTAACTTCTGCTTCTTTCGATGAAACGGGCTGTTCTCAGAATCAGATTTCTTTCTCCGAAAAGTGGTACGATCATCTATTTTCTTTCTTTCTTTTCCCAAGGCTGGTTCTTCCATTGTTGGTCGCCAAGGTTTGGGGTGACGATAATATATTTTGAGAACAAAAGAAAGCAAAGGAAAAAAGCAAGCAACTTTAAGCAAATATGTGATTAGAGATACACGAATTTACTCACCATTGTTCTGCAAAAGAGGAAGAGGAAGATGACGAGGAGAAAAGAAGGAAAGCAGCATCAAAACTCTAAAGGCGAGAAAGCTTGAAACTTGAAGAAGTCATTGTGTGCATTTAATTTCTCCATAATCATTCATGAGGTGGTATAGGAAGAGACAATGGTTGTAACACTTTTTATGGGAAGTATTATTTGATTGTTATATATATATATATATATATATATATGTGGTTTCATAAAACATACACAACTAAATGAAACTAAACAAAAACAATCGCAAATTACATGCTAAAATAATGATTTGGAACTTGTATTTTTATAAGTTCTTCAAATTAATTTCTATTTTAATTTACATTTAAATAAATTTCTATTAAATATTATTGACTGTAATATCGTTAATTTAAGTAATATATCAAATTTATTAATACATAAGATTATTTTATTGATCTAAATATCATGTGGGCGTATCAATTGATATTAAAAAAAATTAGATATCACTTTATTTAAATTTATCTATTTAAAAAAAAATAAATGGACATTAAAAACTCTGCATGATATCTAAATCAATAATATATATATATATATATATATATACACACACACACATATATAGGGTGGCTTTGCACATGCACGGTTGTCTGTACATGAAAACACCGACGCCTACAATATATATATATATATATATATAGATGTAAATATGTGCAATAACTTTATTTTCAAAAAGAAAAGATAAATTTTTGCTACTTAATACAAAATGCAGTTCTTATTGAAATGAACTGTTCTTGGAATAAGATCTCAGGAGAACATCATGCTCAGTAACTTATTATCAGTAGTTAATTAAAACGTGCAACTGATTGAACTTTTACATGTCTAAATTTTCTAGTGGGATTTTATTTGAAGAAATTCTTAGATACCAAACATGTAACTCCAATATTAAAAGTTTAATCCAACAGTCTCCACTTGATTTAGGCAGCAGCATAATGGTGTATACCATTGTGCATGATATTCTTGCACAAGTCTAGATTAGCTCAAGAAAATTCACATTTCTTCTCATACCTGTTCTTCATTCTTGCATCCTTAATCTCAGGCAACATCCTCTCAAGCCTAGCAACACGAGCTTCAAGCTCAAATATCAGATTCAAATCAGTCCCATCAATGTTATCTTCTCCATTTCTGTCCTCCAACTTCTCTGTAGTACAAAGTGGATCTTCATCTCTGTTTCCTTCTGCATTTTCCATGGATCTTGCTGCTTCTTCCTTATTCCCTTTGGCTTCCACAGTCTTCTCAACTGCCTCAATTAACCACAGCATTTTCCTACCTTCTCCATCATCTGGTATTTGACTAGCTTGACTTGTATTACTCGTATCTTCACATTGTCGTGTAGCAGAAGCCAAGTAGACATCTTTAACCATTTTACTTTTGGGAGGAAATCCAGGAGAGAAATCACCATTGTTGTCTGATCTGGGAGTAAAACCAGGAGGAACATCACCGTTGTTATCTGTGTTGTTTTCCTTTGAAACACATAGAAACCCAGGAGGCAAATCATCATTGTTACCTGATTTGAGAGGAAACCCAGGAGGAAAATCATCCTTTTTATCTGCTTTGGGAGGAAAACCAGGAGGAACATCACCATGGTTATCTGATTTGGGGGGAAAACTAAGAGGAACACCACCATTGTTATCTTCTTCGTTTTCTTTTAAAACCCATGGAACAAGAGTTGATCTTTTCTTTCTGACTACAACACCCTTCATAACATCAAGTTGACTCATCACTGACTGCTTCCACCACCCCTTGTATCGAACTGTAACACCAGCCTCAAAGAATCTAGATGGTATATATAATTTTTGAACACCAAATGGCCTAGTGTAATTTTTCCAAGCAATTTCATGAGTATCAGCACATCGAGCCACATGAAAGGGAAGATCCTGATCAATCCCAAACTGCATTGCTACTCGATGTGGGAGATACTGTTTTATACATCTAGGCCCAACAAGCTCACAAACCCTCGAGCAATAAGCAAAAGAAAGTAGCTCTTCCTCCATTCCTGATTCAACACATACCCACGCTTGATTCTCATTGTAGAACTTGGGAAACAACCAGTTATCAACAAGTGAAGCATAAGGGCGCCAGTGAAAACTATCACCTGCAAAATCCAGATCCATTTGCACCTTCCGACGTTTCAAACATCTCACTTTATCCCATCTAGCTGCTCTTGGGTCACCATCTCTGATTTCATTAGGCTTTGGCTGCAATTCTTGGAACCTTTCCCATGCCCAGAGTTGAACCAGTTGAAGAGGAGACCAAGGCTTGAGTCCTTGGAAATGGTCTTCTTCTCCATCTCTACTGGATTCAATGGAAGTGGAATCAACAAGGGTTCCTGTATAAAGGCTCAAATCCCTATAAATGTTAGCTAACACTGCAGGAGCCAGAGCCATCCTCTCCCCTCTAGCCAAACGGGCTGAAATGGGGAAAACACTTGTTTCCACTGTCTGTTTAGATTCTGGGAAAACAAATCTGGCCAGCCACAGAGACAGAAAAGCTTCATGCTCAATTTCACTCCCACTTTGCATGAACTTCTTAATCCATTTTGATGGTTTACAAAGTTGAGACCTTGCTTTTCTTAATTTCACTTCTATCTCTGTTAACGGCCCAGAGAAAGAAACAGGAAGACCCAGAACAGAAAAGCCTCCTAAAATCATCACATCTTCTAAAGTGAGTGTTGCTTCACCCCAAGAGAATACAAATGTATTAGTCTCATAACACCATTTCTTTGCCAAACCAGAAACAAGCCTAGTATCTCTCCATATACTGTACCTAGAACTCATGATTGCTTCATGGATACCAGCTCTTTTCCAAACAGATTCATACTTGGGATGCAAGATATCCACCCATAATTGCCAAGTCTCTGTTGGGACTTGCCAAGACAGAAATGAGGCACTGAAATACCGCAACTTTGATGACTGAAACGCAGGAAATAGAGAGGAAGGAGATAGCGAAGGAACCTGGGCTACCAGTCCATCCATGGAAGTCCCAGTGGGTTGAAGAAAACGCGCTGTTCTTTGAACCGGATTACCATCTCCAAAGACTGTTACCATGAACTCTTCTCTTTCTTGGACCAAGCTTCTTCCTTTACTCTCATCCATTGTTGATCAAGATATGCTCTAAAGGAGAAACTCAACATGAACATATCAAATCAACCTCTTGTCCATTCAAAGTCACTTCTCTTGTTTCTTGGCAAATGAGCAAAATAGGGTTGAGTTCTAGAAAAGTTGAAGGGGTGGAAGGAAAATGATGGAGGGGTGACGATTAGCAAATGCTTGATGAAGACGAAGCCGTTTTCCTGCATCTGGGGAATCAGGAAGGACAAACAAGAATTTACAAGATTGATCAGCCAGACATTTGTACTATAGGTATAATGATGGTACCCAGTACTCATTATTGCAGATAAATATAGCCATATTCGAGGGTTATTTTGGTTATATTACATCCTCGGGCACCTTCTTTCTATTCTAATTTCTAGTCTCATGTGTATTAAACAAAATTCTACTCTCATTTGTTATTAGTGTATTTATATTTATAATATATTTAAAAATTACCGATTTACGTAAAATTTATTTTATATATATATATATATATACATATATATTTTGAGCTATCTTGATCAATTTAGTTTCATTTTAACATAGCATGTTAAGAAATAATTGAGCATGACATGATGATGTTAGGATTTCATTTAGTTCTTGCAGACTCATTTTTATAAACATTTAAGATATTTTTTATATCATAATCAGTATCTTAATTAATTATATACATGTAACTTATTACGAGAGAAAGAATTGCAATAGTTAAATGACTGTCTGCAATATCAATCAGCCACAAACCATTAGTCACCGGAGCTAATCCTCCATGAAAAATAAAAAATTTCACATATTTTGACCAGATCAAGGTCAAAATAAAAGATCCTGATTCAAGATTAAAGATCCTGAATCAAGATAAATTCATGAGCAAGTGAGATTTTTTTGGAACTACTCAAGCATTTTGGAAATCGATTAATTAGTGAAGGTATGAGCACTTATATGTATGTCCCGGGCTACCCCTGGTGGGCTTCAGTTGCTTGCACACGATGAAGGGGATGAGCAGTTATTTCTCAGTTGATCCCAGAAAAAAGAAACCATTTTGCCATTTTCATGGAAAATGAAAACTGTTGAAATTTTCAACATAGTTGGTAATCATACAACAACATTTTCTGTTTATTTACAGTTCATGGTTGGGTCAATTAGTGTTCGAGAAGAAGTTCAGGCTAGGAAAAAGAAGAGAAACTTAGGCAGTAGCACCATCTATAAGTAGTTTCTTGTATTACTCTTAATTCTTCATATTCCACAACCTTTAGTTTAGACCTGGGTAAGGAGAAATTCCCAGTTTGGATATAAAGAAACTAGAACATATTACAGACAAGATCCAGTACCACTATACTTCGCTATGCTTTTCTGTCCCGTTTGTCTAAGCAAGAATTTAGATTAATATATACAAGGCTTCAAATGCAGTAGGTTGGCAACCTGGCAGGTCGATACACGAAGGGTCTGACTGTGTGAAAATTGCCAGATAGGCGGCTATAAGTGAATTTGACTCCGGCACTGCCCTCTGCAGGGTGGGTGCAGTGTTCATGGAAGCTGCTGATAGGTCGTGCCAGGCATGCATCCCAACGATCACTCTCAGGCATTGTCTCCGCTACTGTATATATTCCCTTTGCATTTGTAAAGGCCTGATAGTTGAGAACTTCACCAGATTTTGTAATACAAAGAACAGCAACCTCAGCTCCTGCATCAAGACAGTTTTAAGCCATCCCTTTTGTAATTCATTGAATAGAAACAAGTGCACCGATAACTATTTTATATAAATCTCAAAAATATATCAGAAATACTATTTAAGAACTTAACTCATATTGACTAATTATCAGACAAAATTCTCAAAAAAAGTCAATACAATTTTCACCAGATTTCTACAAGCTTCTACCTGATGGCAAACACAAAATTATTTTCTCTTCGAAAATAGCTCATATACATTTTTCTCCCGTTTCTCTTCTCTCTTTCAAGTTCTTGAACCGGAGAGATCCAAATCTATCATAACAGCTCCCAACCAGAAGAACTGCTATAGGAACCGGTGCAAACACAGAAAACTATAAACTGAAACATTACGAGGCAATCAACTGCCTCTCTCAGGCAAGAATTAATAACCTAATCACAGACCTTTAAATGTCCGAGTATTGTTAGCATCTGGCTAGCACCCATATCTGACTTGAAATGATTAACGTCAACATCAAGATAGGAAGTGATACAATCAAGTTACTAGTACAACTATTACAGCCTGAAATTCTTTCTGATAATTATCTTCTATTCAGAAGAAACAATCATGGAAAAGAATGGTTGAATATCAGCAAGATCATCTATGCAGGTTCGTCTACGTATGGATAACAGTCAATTATGAGCAATTATATATCCAAGTTACCTCAAATTCCTAGCCATCAGTTAGCTGTTCTAAGAAAATCGATGAAGGCATCATAATGATACTAAGCTACCTTTTTTTGAGAGCTTGCTATAAGAATTCAGGTCTTAGAAAATGGCATGTCTTCATTCATTCAGAATACTGGGAAACAAAAAGTTTAGTTTTTGATGCTTTGTACCAAGATGCAAATCACATTTATCATTTCAGAAACCTTCATGACAGGCCCTTGCTCTAATATACTTATATGCATATTTCTAGCTAACTAACACTAGACAAGAATAACTACTCTATAATGGAAGACCTTTTGAAGTACATTACAAGTGCATAACTACTCTATAAAACCGATCAAATTGCACAAACAACCAGACAAGAATACAAGCTTTTAGCATATTGTCTTTGAGTGACGCGAAAAGCCTTAACTTTTCAGGGCTTAATTCGTGTTCTCTCCCTTTGCTGATGGAACCAGATCAGAAGATACGAACCTTAAGTTGTTTTTATCAGAAGATCTGTTCCAATTGATTCATATTTACTTCTTATCAGAACATGTGATTTAATTCAGGATGTTGTTACCTAATTTCTTCTGAAATTGGGTCAACTATTATCTTTTCCTTTTTGAGGAAAAAACCTCTCAATCAAAATCTTCTTTTCCTCTATCAAATTCAGATGTCCCGTAAATTTAATTAAATGACCTCAATTAAGTTAAAATTATCATCTGAACAAATATAATCTAATCGTACTCATAACAAGTCCACAAAACTGTCCTACAAAGACCAAGAACTTCCACCACAATCATTTACCAACACATGAAAAATTTAAAATAAAAAAGTAAAACCCACTTCAAATTCTGCAAATAAACTAACTGAGTCAGCTCTACCAAAATTGACCTACCCCAATCAGATTACTAGAGATGATGACCAAGAAGAGAATCATCATAGATAAAAACACAAACTCAGCAACCCACCAAAAACTACAAATCAAAATGCAAAACCCACTGAAAGTAATTACTAGAGAAGAAAGAAAAGAGAGAGACCTTCTAAAACATGATCTTCAGGTCCAATAGAAGAATCACCACAGACATCACAGACAAACCTGCCATGAATCTCACCAGTCCAAGCTTCAACACTACATGTGAAGATCGCAGTTAAGATTAAAAGAACCATCAACAGATTTCTCGCCTCTGAATCCATGGCCTCACCTTCCAAAGCGCACAGAAAAAGTTTGGTTCGCAGTCGGTGCCATTTTCAAACATTTATACTGAACCGTAGTCACCGTACCAGACCCTGCTTTGACCATGTCTGTGTAGATGAATCGTGTAATTGGGCTACGCATTATTGGGCCATCATCGCTCAGTTTACCCCACTACTTAATAATAATAATAATGGCAGAGAAGCCCAAAATCGATTTATGTCTAAAAAGTGAAAATTTTATATTGTAGAGAGACTGGGTTGAAAATTACAGTTCTATTTTCTGCTAATAATGTCATGTAAACCCTAGAAGACGCAAGATAGGCAGCGGCCAGGGTCTATTGTCGTCTCTCTCTTCACCATCGGCTGTCAAAAAGTCTGAGTCTTTTCTTGTTTTCTGGTTTTTGAATCCATTTAATTAGGCTGATTTCGAGAAAAAAAACAGAGTTTTCTTTTCGTTTCAAATTCATCTGAATTTTCTCGAGAAATCCGAAGGCATTGAATGTTTATGTGATTGAAATTAGATTTCTGCATGTGGGTTATTGCGAAAAAGTGCGTTTTTGTTTTTGGGTTGATAGTTTTCACCATTGGCATCCTTATGAAGACTGATATTCATAAAAGTAGTGGCCTGATCTCCATTGATGAGTATGAAAATCTGAGGGATGCTCTGCTTTTGTGTAAAGTTTTTGGATTATTGGTAGATACTGAGTGGTGAATTATATTAGAATTGATTTTTAGATCTAATTTAAAAATCAAACTTGAGTGATTGTTGATGAACATGACTCGTGAAAGATTAACAGTTGAATGATAATTGGGAATGAAGTTTTATTTCATGTTAATCTCAAAGAAAATTAAGGGGATCTCTGGTTATTGTACGGATTGGCTTTGCAAGCAAAATTTGGAATTGTAATTTATCATGTAAATTAAAAAAAAATAAATTTTAAATTGAATGCGTAAGAAAAATAATAAAGATAATATTTATATTTTTTATATAATAATTTAAAATATTTAATAAAATTACAGGAATGATCATTCTAAAAAATAAACGAAAAATTAAAAAAATAAATGAAAAGTAAACAATTAAGTATCCTATGACGACTTTTACTAGTTTTTGAATGCAGTCTGGGTGATAAACTATTCACAATCTCTTTGTTGATCATAATCTGAATTTTGGTCCTTTTGATCTAAAATGATTGATGAAAAAGTGAGGTATACTAACTCAGTAAGAATATCACACTATTCACCGATACAAAAATGAAGGTTGGTAAAAATCATAAAACAACTAATGGAACTCTTAAATTAAGTAAATTCATTTATCATAAATAAAATCATTTATTGTATATTTACTGTTGCGATATTTTTAAAATTGATCTATAGAGGCAATAATACAAACAATATCATAATCTCATATTTAAATAATCATGACAACAACTTTTCATTTTTATTTGCTTAGTGTATCCTTGGAAGTCCATAGGGATACCTCACTACACGTGAACCCATATTAAAATTTGTCAACTAACCGGCCGTCCTCATACCGCGTCTGATATGAGCGTCAAAAGTATCGTCACTCAATACCCCATCCGGTATGAGGGTGAATCGGGTCGTCCCCATACCCCATCTGGTATTAGCGTCAAAAACACCATCTTTCAATATCTCGTCAGGTATGAACGCTAAAAACACCATCTCTCAATTTTTCGTCCGGTATGAGGGTGAATCGGGCCGTCCCCATACCTCGTCCGGTATGAGTGTCAAAAATACCATTCCTCGATACCCTGTCCGGTATGAGGTAATGTTCACGGTAGGGTTCCGTATATATCCGGTCCGTCCACCATCTCCCAGGATATCCAGTAAGACAACCGTTCACTCATTCACTTAACCAATCAATTTTTCGTTTACATTTTAATTTTTAGTTTTACAAATTAACCGTAAATCATGCAACACGAGCAATACATGTATCAGGAAAATACAACTGAATTATCTTACCAATTTTAGTGTATTATCATGCATAAAACTGTAAAATCAAACAATTAGTTAAAACAGACCAAATAGTAATAAATAACCGGTTCCAGCTCTATTAGTAACCTGTAATTAATTCTCGAAATTTTCTAAATTACACAAAATACCATATTATTTATAATTAGATTTCAATTCCATAACAGAGAATAAGGTAAGAGATTCTTACCCGAACCGGTGTCCGAAATACTAAATTTTTTACTGTTCCTACTGGCAGTCCCCGGGTTTCCTGAATTTTCATACAGAGATTGAAACACGTTTTATGTACCTAAAAATACCAAAAAACTCAAAATCAGTGTTAAAAATTCTTTTCCGACCAATTTTGGGGTTCCGGTATGGAGGCACCACCGCCCGCGACGGCGGTTTACCTCGGTCTGGCCCTTTTCAGTCGATTTTATATAATTCATTGCGAGAAAACACATTAGGGAGCCTTGGTTGGCAGAAAAAAGTTAAAAAACAAAAACCTACCGACGATGAAATTTTCCAGTGCAGCGGCTCCGCTGGCTCACCTTCGCGGCTGGGTGTTTTCCTTCAGTCAACCTGTAAAAAATATAACGTTGATCACAATAATGGAAAAATTGCATGAAACTAGATCGAGAAGGGGTTCATCGGAGGAGATTTTGGATTTTGCCTGCAGTTTTCGGCTCATCCACCATTTCTTTTCCTCCAATTTGACCATGGGGGTGCTTGGAAACAAATTTCGAGCGGATATGAGAATTTTTACTTTTTTCGGCAGTCGAAGGTGGCTCTAGTGCGACGACGGTCGGTTCTCTTCTCCAGCGACTGGTTCTTCTTCTCCGGCGGAAGGTTGGCGGCTAGGGTTTGGGTTCGGTATGATGCGATATATTTATATCCATCTCGCGTCAATTTGCACTGTTTATTGCATTTGATCTTGACCGTCTGATCGTATTTAAAGAAGAAATGAATCTGGATCGTTTATCGCTATTTGATCTCGATTGTACGATCACATTTAAAGAGGGAACGAATCTAAACCATTCATCGCGTTTAATCGCGACCATCTGATCGCGCTTGAGGAGGAAACGGATCCGGACCGTCCACGCGCGCTGAAACACTTCCAGATTGTCTGATCACGAAGAATGCGTATTGACAGCATGGCCTCCCACGTGGCACTGAGTCAGCGTGCCTTACCACACGGCACGCTCCAGTTTATCGAGGCTACTGACTGAGCAGTTCTACGTGGCACAATTTTTCTTAAATGTGTTCTAACTTATAGTTTCTAAATTTTCTTTCAAAAACACATTCCAAACCCAAAATTTCACTACTTTTTTCTAAAATTATTTTCAATCCCATCCTTAACCTATATTTTTCACAATTTCATATTAAATTAAAATTTATTAACTTTAAAAAATAGATTTTGTACATTTTCAAATGTAAAAATTAATTCCGGACTAAATTCCGAAGCCAAATATTATATACCATGTTACCCAATTATTAAATTGGGTGATTATGTAGGAGATGCTTACTCTAGGGTTTATGTATGAACTAGGTTTTTTCTGAAAATATTTTCACAAACTAAAGCATGCATCTTTGTTTTTTACTCTTTGATAGGTTTAATACTTATTATCAATAAAAAATATATAAACATCAAGATGGGTTTTTTTTTCCCTTAAAGTATAAGAGATACCAATTCATAAGCTATCATCCCTTCTAGTGTTATGAATTAAGCTATCATTATTTATAATTTTGCCACACTACCTTATGAATTAAGCTAAACTTATTTATTAATACATATGACTATATTTTGTTATACTCTTTTGTTTTCAATTAATAATATTTTTTGTTATAATACTTCTCGAGTTTGTTTTGGTTTAGTTCGATTTCAGGTCGAGAGGTCTACCACTTATTTTTTTATATTACTACTAAATTAGAATAAATTTAATTATAAATATTAAATTATTGTTAAGGTAAAAATGGATCAATCATTTTTATTTTTAAATTTTTAATTTTATCATTATATTATACATAAGTTGTAATACCTGGGTCCAAAATTTAGTCCGAAATCAATTTTAATAATTTTAAAATAAATAAAAATTAATTAATTAATTAATTTAATTTAATTTTGTTGAATTTATTGAAAAAAATAGATTATGGGTGTAATCGAAAATAATTTTGAGAAAAAAATAAAAATTAGGGTTCGAGATATGTTTTTAAAAGAAAAATTAGAAACAAGAGGTCAAAGTACAAATAAAAAATATTATGCAATATAGAACCGCCCAATCAGTAGCCCCGACGAACCGGAGCACACTGCTTGACAAGGCACGCTGATGTCGGTGCCATGCAAGAGGCCACACAAGTGATCTGCGTGCCCCGCAATTAGACAACCCAGAATCGATCCCGCGCGCTTGGACGACACGAATTTGTTTTTTCCTTAAGCGCGATCGGACGACCGAGATCAAATTGCGATGGACGGTCCAAATTTATTTTTTCCTTAAGCGCGATCGGACAGAAGAGATCAATCGCAATTGACAGCTCATATCAACGAGAGATTGGTATAAATAATTCGCATCACACGGAAACTCGAACCCTACTTGCCAGCCCCCACTAGAGAAGAATAACCAGACGCCGGAGAAGGAGGCCAACCACCAATCGGTGCCATATCAGAGCCACCATCGATTGCCAAAAAAAGTAAAAATTCTCCCTACCCATTCAGAATTCGATTCTGAGCACCTATGTGGTTGGAAACGGCAGACATCAGAGCAAAAGGGATGGTGGGCGAGCTGGAAACCGCAGACAAATTCTGGCAAAGCCACCGCGGCCAAAACCCCAAAATGCCTTTGATGAGCCACTTCTCGATTCTCGTTTCACGTAATTTTTTGATAATTGTGTTTACTGTCCTTTTCTGTACAGGTTAGCCAAAGAAAGAATCTTAGTCGTGAAGGAGGACCAGCAGAGTTGCAGCACCCGGAGGTTTTTCCTACCGGTAAGTTCAGTTTTTTTTTTAATTTTTTGGCCAACCGAGGCCCCTAACATGTTTTTCTGCAGGGATATAGCCAAAACCGGCCAAAATCGGTTAGACTAAAGCAAACCGTCGCCATGGGCAGCGGAGCCATCGTCGGAGCACGGCGCCGCTGCCGTGTCGTAACTCCAAAATTGGTCGGAATGAGTTTTGAACACCGATTTTTGATTTACGAGGTATTTTTAGGTACGTGACGAGTACTTTGGATTCTGCATGAAAAATTCAAAAAATTCGGTACCTGATAGGAGGCGTAGTAGACATTTCGAAATCTCGAAACACTGATCTGGGTAAGGATCGCTCATCCTATTCTTTATTACGGTAAATTGAGACTTAACAATGTAAAATTTTATGTTTTTATGAAAAATTAAAAAATCCTAAAAGGAATTACATATTACTAGTGGAAGTAGAAGTAGTTAGTTTACATTTGTCCTAATTCTCAGTTTATTTTTATGTACTGTTTAAATTGCTTACTGTTATATTTTGCATGCTTACATTGATAATTTTTATTTTCTCGATTATATGGATTAATTGGTCTATTCCTGCATGATTTATCTGGTTATTTGATTACTCAATTATTGGTTATGATAAGTTAAATTGCTTACTTAAATACTGTTTTATTAATATGCGAATATGTAATGAGATATTGGTAATGCGTAGTTGGTTGTTATGTTGATGAAAATTTGTATGTAAAAGACTTATTGGGCACCTAGGAAAGGGCAGACGGACTCGGTATATAGGAAACTCTACCGTGAACATTATCTCAGTCAGATAGGGCTGGGAAATCCTTTACCAATAAGGTTTAGGAGATATGGTTCACCCTCATACTGGACGAGGTATCAAGGTGGTGGAATGTTTGGCGTTCATTGACAGATAGGGTATGAAGTCGACCGATTAATTGTTTAAATTAGATATTGGGTTCATGAGTAGAAGGACATTCATATGAAACTCCATGGGTACAGATAAGCGGATAAAAAAAAATAAAAAGTTATAATCTCTTTTTATCTTATATGTAAAAATAAAAAGTGTATGAATATGAGTTTTCGTAATTTGTTTTTGAAAAAACTCGTTACGTGAATACGGAATAAATGAATTTCTTTATATTAAATGAATTTACATCAAATTAATGGCTCAATTAATTATTTTTTTTTTATTTTTACTAATCTTTAGTTTTTCGTATATATGATTAGTGTTATATTCTTACTGGGCCTAGCACTGCTTCCTAAGAGCAGCGTGTCTACCAATTTCACCATAATGGCTTGTTCAAAATCATAATAACCTTTTTTTATTCAATTGTCGAGATTGAAAGAGTCAATTTAATGCAATTTATGAAAGATTTGATGAATAAAAACTCTTTTTTAAAAGGGATTTGAGGGTTCGATTCCAACATCGAGCCTTAATTTAATAATAAAATAAATAATAAGATAATTATCTTTTTTTTAGATAACATATTTTTACTTTTTTAAGAGTTTGTAAATTAACAACAAACAAAAAATTTGTAGTTTAAAGTTTTTGTAGTTTATGTTTTTTTCTAAAATAGAACTCTTGTAACTAAAGTTCAATCTAGGAATAGAACTCAAAAAAATGTTTTTTTTTTTATTTCTTAGTAATTTATTTCCTATTTATATAATTTTTTAAATCTATAAATATATTTTTTATCAATTGAATGAATAAAAAAAATATGATTTTTTACATATCACAATTTCAACACGACATTCAATAATTTGAAATGAAAGGTTTTATGTAATTTTTGCACAGCTCTGTATTAATGCCTAGAGGTTTACGTTGTTAATTTGTATTAGAATTTATCAAACTAATTAGGTATTGTGTTGAATATATTATATAAAAAAAGTTTTGATTTCTATCCTAATTCATACTTCCAAAAAAATGAAAAATGCTTTTTAAATCTAAATTAGAATAATAATTATAAATATTTTGATTGAGACTAGTGTAGATCACCATTCTATTAAATATTTTATATTAAGAGGATCAAGATCCAGATTTCGATCGATAAAAGGGTTGTGATTAGTTCATTAACCGGACTCCCTTCAAGTGCTAGTAAAGGTCGTCATAAAACGCTCAATTATTCACTTTTCATTTTATTTCTTTAATTTTCGTTTGTTCTTTTAGAAGAGATATTTCTGTAACTTTATTGGACAATCTAAATTATTGTGTAAAAAATATAAACTTTAATTCTATTAATTGTTTCAACATTTAATTTATGAATTTATTTTTATTTAAATTTTAATTATTTACGTAAGTAAATATATTTTTCATAGAAATTTTAATACTATAATTGCATAGTTTTAGAAAACGATTAAAAAATTATACAACTTATTTTTTGTTATAACTAGTGTGACATTCAAAAGAGAGTTATTATTATCATTTGTATATGATTTATTAGTTTTTAGTGGATATATAACTCTATATTATAAAATTAAATATTTATATTATTAATAATAATATTATATTTATAAATTTACTGACCGAGTTTATAAAAATAAAAATTGCATGAGATAAATATATTTTTTGAAAAAAATAAAAAATTGACGTGATAAGTTATTATGATAAAAACATCAAAAAGCAAGTAGAATAGTTAATATAATTATTAAATCTATAATATTTAATTAAAATTATTTTTATTTATCAAAATTAAATTTACTAAATGTGGACAAATAACATTAGAATGCAAGTAATCACTTGCCCCTTTTTGGTTATAATTAAATTGGAATGTAAATTAATATAAAAGAGACACTAAAAAATAATATAAAAAAGAAAAAAAAAAATTAAGCGTTGATTTTTCAAAGTCAAGGTCAAACTAGAAGGGAAAATTTCATACCATTACAAGCCGACAGTGTGGGTCCCGCATCTGACGTGTCACTATGTGGTAGGAAAGAGGGACGTGTTTGACAGCCCATACAATGACTAAAACGTCCCTGACCTCACAAGTGTATTCCTTGGCACCTGCGGTTTCAGGGGTAGGGCAGAAACGTCACTTTGGCATTAACTGCAAATAAACTGTAGATATTAATTTGGATAACTAAAAAAGGAGGAAGAAGAAAGGAGGAGGGTCTGTTGAATTTTTATGTGTTGAAATTTTAGAAGATGATACAATGGTTAAAGCAGCTAAAAGCATCATTCGGGTTCGCCTTTATTTGGCTTGTTTGCTTGATTTATTTTACCCAGGTTCCTTTTCCTCTCTCTCGATTTCTATTATCAATGCAGATTGATCCTTTCACAGTTGATAGGAGATGCTTTAATGAAAATTTTATAACCTGGGATTGATTGGTATTTTTCATTTGGGTTTGTATCTTCTGGGTTTTGGTTGACTCGATAACTTGGGATTGTTTTTGATATTGTTTGATGTAGGGAAGAAAAGCTCTTTATCTTGGAAGTCTTTTCCTTTTTTCTGGGAATTTTCTTTTTATATATTTTTGGAAGATTGAGGGATGTGTCCTCTTGGAGGAATACGGAAGTCATCTGTGCGGCAGTTTGGTTGTGATTTTAGGAATCTTTTGATTGCTTCTGAACATGCCATTTTGTCTCTTGATTTTTGATAAAATGAAAAAAAAAATGCCCCGAATTCATATGCAAGAAAGTATTTGGATAGATTCAGCTATTGGATCAATGAGGTTAAGAAAGTGGGTATTAAGTTTGAGTTGGAATTTTCCCTAGATCAGGTTGAGGATAATTTAGTTTTAATTGTTGATTGGCTTTCTCCTCCTACTAAGTTTGTTTTGAGCAAGAGGCCTTGGGCTGCAAACGGGAGGGAATTGGTTGGCTTCTATTAGATTAGACACCTTTAAATGCTTGAATGGGTTCAATTCTCATCTAGCCACTAATCTACTACTACTTCTAACTTTTATATTAGTCTTGTTATGTATGATTAGAGCATAACTGTTAGACCACTGACTCATCCAATGTTCAGCACTGAATGTGACTGTGGTGGATAGCTTGGTTTAGGGTTAGATGTTAGCTGGATGAGAATAGATTAAGGGGGAGGAAGAAGAGAGGAAGAGGGAAGAAGAGAGGAAGAGGGAAGAAGAGAGGAACATGTGCTGGAGGTAGAGGTTTAGAGAGGAAAAACGGAGAAAACAGTTTTGGGAGTGAAAAGTTTGTTCTGATATTTCTTGCATAATTCCCCATCCTTACACCTTTTGTAGAGGCCATAGTGGCAAAGCACATGCATAAAAGGTGGCCAAATCGCCCAGTTGGCAGTTAATGGCTAAAATCCTAACAACCTAGAAAATGACAAAAACCAAAATAAGAAACAAGCAGAACTAGCCAAAACAGAAATTTAAATGATGGGCTACTATTTAAATCTTCTTGTGCCCAAACACACACCTGATAATAGCTTTTTCTTGTCGTGTTTAATCTACTCCACTTTAAATTTTTTTGAGGTTTTACTTTTCAAGGTGGGGCTGAAGGAATTGAAGTAAAGGGTGGTGGTAACTCAATTGCCACAAATTCTGTTCCAATTGTTTATACTAAGACTATTGCAAGAAACTAAAATGCAAGAAACTAAACTAGAAACCAAGGAACAAATAATAATTTGAACCAAACACAAGCTTTTGCTAAAAACTACCTTTTATTGTTGATTTGTTTTAAGTGCGTTCATGACAGTCTGTCTTGGCTTCATTATGACTAAATGCTCGTTGCCCATCATTCTCCTTCTCTTTTCTCGCAGAGTCACCTTTTCTTTTTGCATTTTTCACCTATTATTCAACTTATATTTCAGTCCTGTTAATTATATTTTCATGGATATGTGAATGCAGGGTTTTAGATCCTTTGTATGGACAGCTGTTTCTTACCAACTGAAAGATAAGCTTAAATTATCCCCATCAGCTTCACAACTTGTGTCTTCAATAGTATTCTTCCCATGGAGTATAAAACCATTATATGGGTAAGTGAAATTCTTCTATATTTCACATGCATTCATGTGAATATGCATTTGTAAACTCAGGGTTAATGCATTCACAGAATTTGAAGTTCTTTTAGGAGAACAGTTGACTAAATTTGCTAAAGTTGGTACATACCTTTACAGGCATAACAGAATAAATATGTTCGATGTAGCTGTAAGAATGGAGTGCTTGTATCTACAACATCTAAAAGAATAAAGTCATTTGATCTAGCTATTCCATCAGGAGGCCCCATGTCTGTAATGTTTGACTGAGCTTAAGTAAATTTGTAAAATTTGTAGCTTGCAAATAGAGCCTAAATCATAACACGACACTGTAACTAAACTGTGCCTAATCTTGTTTCCTGTAATATTTACATCTTTTCAGTGGATGCAGCCTCATCAAAATTAAATCTATTGTAATGGCATGATCGGCAACACGGTTTTGCGCATTTTGTTTCTTTCTAGTCGACTAAGTGCAGAAATCACATGTACAGTCGTATGGAAATATTTCTTAGCAATTGCCTTAATAATGTGTCACAAGATATAATGTACATTAATGTATATTTAAACAATGCCATTTTAGTATTTGCAGTAAGAGCTTGACTATGAATTCATTAGTGATCTCAGTTGCCTAAAAAATTACTTGTCAATGGTTCTACATGGTTGACTGGTTCAACAAAATTAATTTAGCCCGAAAGAAGTTATCCAAAACTGGTCTCTTGGCATCTCACCATTCTCTCCTCTGCAGAATTGTGTCTGACTGTATTCCAATCAAGGGGAGAAAAAGGATACCTTACTTGGTGATTTCAACTGTGCTCTCTCTTGTCCCGTGGCTTATGCTTGGCTTAAATGCAACCCTGAGAGGTTCCAGATTGTACCTAGTGATCTTATTGACAATGCAAAACCTTGGCTCAGCAATGGCAGATGTTGTGATTGATGCAATGATTGCTCAGGCAGTAAGACATGAGGGGTATTGTTTGTGTATTGAGCTTGTTTACTGTGGCTGTCAAGTATAATATGCAAATTAATACAAGTAATATATGTAAACTCTCAATTATCATCCAGATATTTGACAAAATAAAGGTCTCCCTGTTAAATCTGATATGATGGAACAGCCCAATTATCGTGTCTGGGTACAAAGAGATTTTATAGTCTCTCCTATAGTTGGTAATGGTGCATGTATTATGTATATGTACTTTTAAGGTTCTGCTACCATCTTTATTTGATGTTTATCTTGGATTTGTTAATATTATGAAGAATGTGTCTTGAGCTTAAATACTGTTTCTCTGTTTCTCAGGGCTTCATTTGCTGGGGATCTACAGTCCATCTCATGGTTAGCAATGGCTTTAGGTGGAATCTTTGGGAGTTTACTCGGAGGATATGCACTAACCAACTTACAGATTGACACAATTTTTGTTCTTTTTACTGTATTGCCAGGGATACAGTTATTTTCATGTGGCTTGGTTGAAGAAAATTCTGTAGGTAGTAACAGTTGGACTGATTTTTCTGGTTCAAACATTTCCCACGAGGTTAATGGGAAGAGAAATGATTCACATGAAGATGATTTTTTAGCTAAAAAGTCCAACATCAGTGTGTCAAGACGAAAGAGTCAAAAGAACAGCAAAAGGGGAGAAGTCTCTAGTGGGAAATCTCAGATTCCTGAAAAAGCCAACTCCTTAGCTCTGCAATGGTTCCGATCTCTGAAAGGAGCCCTTTATAGCCTATTCAATGCTTTTAGACAACCAATCATTTTGAGGTGACTGCTGACTGATTTTTTTTACTCTATAAATAGATTTCTTGGCCAGGTATCTCTCTCTATGGGCTTCCTTTGAGTAATCAGCCCCTTGAGATGATCATGATATGACCAGATAATAGTGAATGATTTATCTCGAAAAAAAAAAAACCAATGGTGAATTATCCTGAATAGTCTGCCAAACAAGGTGTTGAGTTATTTCTTAAGATCAGCTTTTTGCATAGGATCTTTTGGGGAAGTGCACTTCCCCTTTATATCAATCTTGATTATATGCTGCATTTATTATCACTACCATTTCATTGTCTTTGCGTTTGTTTGTACTTCTAATCAAGGTTCCTTGTGATTTTGTTTCAGACCGATGGCTTGGTTTTTCCTTGCCCATGTTACCATCCCAAACCTCTCTACTGTCATGTTCTATTACCAGACAGAGTTCTTGAATTTGGAAGCTTCCTTTTTGGGGACTTCACGGGTTGTTGGATGGTTAGGACTCATGTTTGGAACATTTATATATAATAAGTACTTAAAAAAAATGAAGTTACGCAGAATTCTGATGTAAGTATTAAGATTAGTCTGGTTATTTTTATTTGTTATAATTTATCCTTGCAGATTTAAAGTGCTTAAGAGTTTCCATTCTGATCTACAAGCATAATGCAGGTGGGCTCATCTTGGTTTGTCATTGCTAACTGTGCTAGATATAGTTTTAGTTTCTCGAGCAAATTTAGAGTTTGGAATATCAGATAAGATCATGGTGCTGTGTGGATCTGCTTTGGTTGATGCAGTCAATCAATTCAAGTATGTTAACTTGGCCCTATGCACATTACTTATTCTGATAGTTTAGTATTTACACGAGATCTTTGAAGGCATCATCGAGTTAACCACTTATCTGCTAATATATTCAGTACTTGTTTATTCCCATTTGACCTGCTACATATATTATGTACTCACTTATTCCCATTCTACATGCAATGATGGTTAGACATTGGAATAAAAATCTCTTACCATCTTGTCTGCTTGTTTCACCACAGGCTCATGCCATTCCTGATCTTGTCCGGACAGCTATGCCCACCGGGAATAGAAGGAACATTATTTGCACTCTTCATGTCGATAAACAACTTTGGATCAACAGTTGGCTCATTTGTAGGTGCTGGGTTGGCTTCATTGTTGAACGTCTCCTCAGGATCCTTTGACAACCTCCTTTTGGGGATTGTTATTCAAGTCATCTGCACTTACATTCCAGTGGCGCTTCTGTTTTTAATACCCAAGGAAGCAACAGGAGTATCGACATAGGTAGTCACCAATATTTTTCTTTTTTTTTTTTTTCCGGTTTTTTTTTCCTTCCTTTTGATTACAAATTTAAAACAAAAAGGAAATCATCTTGATTCTTTTACTCATAGATCAAATTGCTTTCTGCTGAAAGGCAATTAAGAAAGTTAGTATAGTTGATTTTCACACAGAAAAATGAATGTAATAGTTAAGGATGAATTCACGTAGATCAGTTTTGATGATAGTTCCTCATACAGATAGAACTCTGCTTGGTAGTTCAGTCGAGGTTTCTTGCTCAGTGGATGCAAAGACTATGTCAACATGGATGAATCTTTTCATACTGATGAAAATGTTTGTTGGTGCTGTATTTGTTTTGATAATGAAGTATGTTTTTTTTAAAGGGATATGAGATATGTCTTGAATTCGAATTGTGAATTATATATATATATATACATACATACATTCTTGACAATAAATAAAATGAGTTGACTGGATCCAAATGGAAAGAAATTAAAATTATTACAAAAAATTTCAAGTTTACAATGCACTAATATTTTTCAACTACAACAAATATAACTTAGTAATCATTGTTTTACAAATACAGGAGTGTATTAAGTCTTTGATTTTATTAAATTAAAATAATACTAACTGCGTTGAAATAAATAAAATATTAAGGTTAGAAGAACAATTGAGTGAAACGTCAACGTTTCATCCACCATGTAATTTAGAGGGTGAGTGATATTATTTATTTCTCATGTAAACATTAAAAATAGAATATTTATTTAATTCTAAAATTACATTTGAAAAATAAATAAAGATTAGACACAATATTTTTATTTTTAAAATTTTTGCTTCATTTAATAAATTCACTTAAATATATTGTCTATATATATATATTTAAAATTAATAATATATACAACAGTAAAAACTGTAAATATTTATAATAAATATTACTTTTTATTATTTTTTTTACACCCTCCTTCGAACTCGGGCTGCGAGCAACGCTCTGATCACCCTGCATTCCTTCGCGTCTTCTTATGCGAATGATTGCGGAAACTCTTGGCGTAGCAGAGAAGAAAGAAAAAGAAGTTGTCATCAAAATTTACGAGGTAAAGAAGAATTGAAGATGAGAAGGAGACCTGGAATTGGAGGATTACAAACAGCTGCAGCAGCAAGGGTTTGATTCTTATACCTGCTATTGTTGTTTTTTCTTTCTTGTTCATGTGTTGATACATGTATGATTTTTTTTTTTTTTTTTTTAAGGATCAATACCGATTACTTGGAGAAAATGTAGCGAAGCTAAGAACTGATCTTATGAAAGAGCAGCTTGCCACCTTTCGTTCCCAGCTTGAGGAATTTGCTCGCAAGCACAAGGTTCTTTTTCTTTTTTCCCTTTAATTTCAATTACCATTTTAAGATATTCTTAATTCTCGTAGTCAATTTGGGTTCTTTTGTTTCACTTCAGCGATTTTTAATTTTTCTCACCTGAAAAAAATCCCAAATTCTGTTGAAACTCGATTCAGTTATCAGATATAAATAAAAAATTGGAAAGAATTATGAACGGAGAAACAAATTTGGTGTCTTTATTAGAAAATTATTGCTTGTTATTCGTTTGGTAGATGTGAAATTACGCTAATAATGATGAGGTTTGTTGCAGAATGACATTCGAAAAAATCCAGCCTTCAGGTCACAGTTCCATGAAATGTGTGCTAAAGTGGGGGTGGATCCCTTAGCTTCAAATAAGGGTTTTTGGGCTGAGCTATTGGGGATTGGTGACTTCTATTATGAACTGGGTCTGTATTATGTCTCCACTATTATGCTCCAAAGGTGCTTATTTAGACTGCGTTTGACATTGTTTCTCTGATGCTTAGAACACCTATCCATATTGCCTAATCCCAGTCTTGAAAAAGAAACATGAGATTTGTGATTTTGGCGCCACACACACCCTCAAAACATATTTCGTGCTTGTTTTACAACTTTGCACTGCATTGCTGATGTCCAAAGGCTTGATGGGTTTTGAAGTTAATTTTGATTGCCTACATGTATTCAAAGTGATTTTAAGTCTTTGGTGCAAGCATGTGAGGTATTTGTTCTAATTTTGCTTGTAAACATCCTGGTTTGCATTTTTTTGAGTTCCTAGATCGCAGGGTGAATGAATAAGGAGTATGAAATCTGCTCTGTGCAACTAAATAAAATTTCAATTCTTCTTTATCCTAATTTTGGCAAGTTTTCCAGTTTTTGATACTTTGGAAAATATATAGACTTTTAGCTGTAATGATTCCTGCACCAATATAGGTACTATTCATCAATATGTGTGTGTGTGTGTGAGTATTTATTTCAAAAAAGAGTATATGCGTATATTTTGGTTGTGGTTTAGACTCTAGTTAGTTTTATGCATCTTCAAATTGCAACTTTTATCTTTTATCCAATTTTTTGTTTAGCATCAAAAGCAATATGCATGTTATAGAAGATGAGTTAATGACTTTGTTGTTTGGCTAAACAGGTGTTCAAATTGTTGATATTTGCTTGGCTACAAGATCCCATAATGGAGGTTTGATCAGCCTGCAAGAACTTTGCAACTTGCTCCGCAAGAGAAGAAAAAGTGATCGTGAAGCTGTGTCCGAAGATGACTGTTTGCGAGCTATAAGTAAGCTGAAGGTATCCTCTTTAAGATCTCCTGCAGTAAGAGCATGAATTTAGATGTTATCTGGGACAAATGATTAATTAGATTATTAAATTTTCCAGGTATTGGGTAGTGGCTTTGAGGTGATATCTGTTGGAAAAAGGAAGCTTGTTCGCTCAGTTCCAACTGAATTGAACAAAGACCATAACGAAATTTTAGAGTTGGCTCAGGTTACATTCAATTTTATGTTTCTATCTCACCTAAGAATTCTGCTGGAATTTTTTTTTTCTTCTTTTTTTTCCCCCTTAAGTATAGTTTCTTTGTGGTTTTTTACGTAACTACATTCCTTGGAATTGTTTTGAAACTAATTTGCTCTGTGAAATGCTCTCTTCTTTGCTTATTTAACCCTGTGATGATACGGTTTGACATGCCCAAACTGGAATTCTATCAGCCCAAGATATTTTATCAAGTAAATAAATTATTTAAAGATGCAGAAAAATTATAAAACGAAGTTGAGACTTCTTTTCCTCACTATTTGCTGATGTTTTAAGGTTATATTTTTTTGGTTAGGGAAAAGTAACTACACCAAGTATTAAGCCTAAGGGAATATAGTGGTGCACGTCGACATACATTCTTGCAACAGTTTCAGTTTTCCTTCTTAACTTGCCCAAAAAAAATGAATTTTTGGGTTATGATAGATTGGCCCAATTATTCCTTCATTTCTGAAGTCATTTAAGTTCACCTATAATGAATTTTGTTTCTAGCAAAGAATTTGCTTTTGTTCAAACTGGATGTCTGACTGCAAGATACTTTATACTAAAATAAATTATATTCTAATTGTATCTAGTTACATACTTAAATTTTCTATGTCAAAAGAAAAAATTTCATAATTTGATATAACCTGCTCCCTTAGGTGCAAGGGTTTGTAACTGTTGAGGAGGTAGAGAGACGGTTTTCATGGACATCTGGTCGTGTCAGTGATGCCCTTGATACTTTACTAGATGTAAGTTTGTGCTACCACAAGTCTCTGTATTTGTTTTATTACCATCTTCACGATCTCCATTTCCGAAACATGAATTTGGTTGTAACTTATGAGGCTCATTATTCGCTGTTACTTCATGCAGGAAGGTCTTGCAATGATTGATGATGGTCATAAAGATGGCAAGCGCCGTTATTGGTTCCCTTGTGTGTCTCCAATGTCATCTTTATCATTTGCTGATACTTGATGTGGATGCGTGATACAAGTGTGTATACCTTCCATTATAAAAGTTGTATTTCATGTTCACTGACTTTTGTGGATATCCAAAGATGGGTTAGAATTCTTTCCCTCAGTCAATTATCTTTTGCTCTAATGCAGTTTGTTTTCATAAAAACAAAAATATAAAGGAGAGAGGAAGAAGAAGAAAATGATCCCATTAAATTCTAGAAACAAATGTTATTGACATGTATACTTTGCATTTCTACAACATGCCTTGCATTTTTATGACATACCATGCATTTGTCTTCTAAAAGAATTACATACTGCAACATCTCTAAGCCCAGTGAGAAGAACAAGGATTGTAGGAGAAAGAAGAAAACGTAAAAAAGTATCAATTCTCTGTAATTTGAGAAGGTACTTCAGTCTCCTCCGTCCAGTCAGAGGTTGGCTCACTCCATGATCTGGGTCGTACCCCTAATTTGAAATACAAGATCATCTCTAATGCCTCAAAAACCTTATGTTGATCCAAAAATCTATTCCACACACCATTCACTATGCAATAGTTATTGTTGTACGGTGGTCTGTGGTGAGCGGCATGCTGTGACCGCGACACAGCAGCCCGCTTCTTGCAATGCCACCACTAGCGGTGGTAGCTTGCTCTTAGTGCCATGGGCCCAAGCATGGAATTGTTGGCTGAACATAATGCAGAAGGAGCATACGCTAGCAAAACCATGAAAAGTAGGATCATGAAAAACAAGTTCTAGAGGAACAACTGCAAATGTAACACTGCGAGCCAAGGCATGTAAGTTGTTAGCAAACTGACGTCTAGTGATTGTCCATGGCCACTTATGGTGACCTTGAAATGCATCAATTTGTGGACCAAAAACTGGAGTTGATGCATCACCGTAGTTGTCAATTCCCCAATGGTAGATGCCGGACAATAGATCCGCTAAAATGTAGCCCATGCAGCCACCCAAGATGGGTTCGAGCCAGACGTGTGATTGGGCAGCACCCATCACGGACTTGGCTACAGAAACAAGCACTGTGGCGCACCCAGCAGCCACCCACGCACGATGAGACCATGTTGATTGCAGACTTGGGTCATTGAGCAAAGGAGGAGATTTAGTGGTTGTGAATACAGTCGGAGTATTTACCACCAGTGGTTTATCCTTAAGAGGATCTGGGCTCTGGTTGGTTGGCCGAGATTTGACGGTAGTAACAGTAGTAGTGGTAGCAACCGAACATATCACAAATGTTCGGCGAAACAGGCAACGGGAAGTAGGAAGATGGTGGAAGGACCTTAAGGGATACTTGTGGCAAGGTACAAAGATAGACATTGAGAAACCAATAGAACCATGTAAGTGGAAACTATACATATACAAGCATGTGAGAATGAAATAGCCGCTGTAAAGGAGTAGTGTTTGGGGAATTTGTGGTGCCAAGTGAAATAACAACGTTGTGGTGTGGACATGGAGTGCGTGGGGTTGCAGAAGTCGCTAGTGTGTTGCTTGGTCAATCTTTATCACAAAAACATTGACCAACCATACAGAATACGTATATGAAGTATTTGAGGTGGTCCAGAAGCTTTTTTGGATTGGTATTTTGAGTCGTCGGATTGATATAAACAAATGAAGAAATATTTTTCTTAATTTTTTTGAGGGAAAATAATTGGTGATCATGAAGAAAGATAGGGCTGCAAATTATTTCTTCAAATTCTATAAAAGGAATATTCAAGCTGATCTTGAAGCATCTATAAGATTACAAAATTACATCACCCACCTACTTTTTGTTGAACAATTTGTATATATATATTATTTATAATATTTGATTTAATAAAAACGAGAATATATGTATTAATAAAATTACAATAAATAAATTGAATTAAATCTCAATATATGCGTCGATATATTATGAATTATATATTTGTATAATTTTGGTCCTCCTAAAATCAAGCCCATTATGCCCAAATTCAATATGATAGATGTTACGTGACGCATTTAAATTATCTGAATAACTAATTTAAATAATTTTTTTTGATTATTTTTAATATTATTATATTCATTTTTCTAAATATTAAAAGTTTCCAACTTTTTCTTTTACTTCTATTTACATTTAAGAAAAATGTTAAATTATAATAATTTTTAAAATTTTTACCGAAATATAAATAATTTTAAAAATAAAAATTGAAATTATACTAATTATATTTATGTAACTATAAAAAAAAAAAATTTATATCATATTTGATGTGTAGCAGAGACTGAAAATCTAAGCATATATTTATAATTAAAACCCTAATTTGTCTTATTATATAGCTTGGTATATAAGAGTACAAAATCATAAAATGGATGGAAACTAATAATAAATACAAGGATATACGTAGGGTGTCATTTATTAAAATAAAAAGACATAGAAGTATAAATACAAAAATATTAATTAAAAAATAAATAATATAGAATTATATTATACCAAAAAAAAAAAAAAAGAACAAAGGTAAAAGAAAAGTTTTGTTATATACGGTATGTACATATACACTGTAAAGCCATTATGGCATATAAAAACCATACGAGAAAATATTATATATGTATGGTAAAAACAACAAGAGAAAAAAAAAAAATTTAAAAAAAAAATGAAAGTAAAAGGGTAGAGAAAGTTCATTAATTACGGTAAATTAGTGTTATAATTAGTGTTATAATTAGTAATTAAATGCCATTTCTTTTTATTGGCTTTAACGACAAAAGAAAGTATTCCCAGGAGTCTCCATCGACAGATGGGAGTGAGACAGAAGAAGCAGAGACCTACGTTAACCCTCTCTCTCTCTCTCTCTCTCTCTCTCTCCCGCTTCCCCTCTGCTCTCCCTCTTTACAGCCATGTCGTCTTCTTCTTCTGGGTATTCCTTATTGTTTAACATAGCGAGACTATTTGCGACGTTGTTGGTTTTGGTGGCGTGCCAACATGTGCAAGCCGTGAAATTACCGTTTCACCCCAAGGACGTGCTACCCTTTTTGCCTAGGCAGGTTTCGTGGCCGATTCTCAACTCTCTGAACGCCGCGGTGGATCTTCTGCCCAGCTTTGTGGGCGCAGCTTCGGCTCGAAACGACACCGTGTCGTGGAAAGGTGCCTGCTTCTACGACAACAGGGCTTGGATGGAGTTCCACAACAAGACTGGAAGCGAGTTTGGTGGAGGAACTCTTCATATTAAGGTGAGAGGGGAACTGGATTTTAACTTCATATATTTTTTTGCTTGTACAGTTTCCTTTTTTTTCCCATTGCGGTTTTATTACCTTACTTTTGAATATTAAGGCCTGTTTTGGTATTTTTGGTTCGTAAATGTCGATCTTTTGCTGGTTTGTTTGGTTGTTATCGTATAAATTTGGAGGGTATAGTATCTCGGTAATGGAAAGTTGGGGGATTTGTAGTATGGAAATCGAGAAGTTTGATACTTTGCAGAAAGTTTGGGTTTCCTTTTGTTGGCTTTGAGTATAGGTAGATAGTTTATCCGAGTTTTTGGTTTGTACAAGTCTAGAGAAGTTGGTATCTGTATTTCAGATTCGTAGAACGTTTTTGCTGAAAATGAGTTAGCTTATGAACCGCTTTCTTGATGTTCTTTGAAGGGATAGCTTTCCCAAACTTCATTTCAACTTTTACTTTCTTTTTAGTGACGATTAGTGGGTATTCCGGCTTTGATTTGTTGCATTTCATTGCTAATCTTCGCTATTGAGAGTTTCTATCTAATGTGTTTTCATGGACGGCTATGGTATGAAATATACTTCTTGTGAACTTGAAGCAATTGGGACAACTGGGATTGTTGAAGTTCTGCTCACAATTAATGAAAAACTCAATCTGTCTTACCCAGGTCAGCAAAGCCCACAGTTGGACATGCATGGATCTTTACGTCTTTGCCACTCCATATCGTGTGACATGGGATTACTATTTCCTGTCTCGAGAGCACACCTTCGACTTCAAGGAGTGGGAAGGGAAAGCTGAGTATGAGCACGTAAGTTGCCACTTTAATATACTCATGATTTGCTAGGTAAGGTAGTTTTTGTTTCTAGGTTTGCATTTTATGGCATGCATGATTTTTGTGTTTATCTCAGGTGAAAAACAGGGGAGTTTCTATATTCCTTATGCAGCAGGGATGCTGGGAACTCTTCAAGCATTGTGGGATGTGTTTCCCTTATTTACAAACACAGGATGGGGTGAGACATCTAATATTGCATTTCTCGAAAAGCATATGGGTGCTTCTTTTGAACAACGTCCTCACCCTGGGTGACAAACATGAGCACTGAGGATATTCACTCTGGAGATTTTCTTGCAATATCCAAGATTCGTGGGCGATGGGGTGGTTTTGAGACTCTGGAGAAGTGGGTAACTGGAGCATATGTTGGTCATTCTGCTGTTTGCTTGAGGGATTCCGAAGGGAAGTTATGGGTTGGTGAATCAGGTCATGAAAATGAACAGGTAAAACAGCAAACTGTGGAATTTGCTAGAAACATGTAACTTACAGGGGTTAAACTTTCTATAAGGTTTTGCAAGTGTTTTCTCTTTCATTTTTCCCGCTTGTAGGGAGAAGATGTGGTTGCTATCTTACCATGGGAGGAGTGGTGGGAGTTTGAGCTTAACAAGGATGATTCTAATCCCCATATTGCATTACTTCCTTTGCATCCTGATATGCGAGCCAAGTTCAATGAGACTGCAGCATGGAAGTATGCCCTAAGCATGGCAGACAAACCATACGGTTACCATAACATGATATTTAGCTGGATAGACACTAGAAGTGGGAACTATCCGCCACCATTGGATGCTCATCTGGTATTTAAAATATTGATGTTCCATTTTTTATTTAAATTTTAAACAAATTTTAGCAGAATTTTAGTTGGTGCTGTATATCTCATATTGTTTTCTAGTAATCTCAGAATTCTCTCTCATTCCTGTCAGCATGTAGCTGAAGTTTGCAATTAAATAGTTTCACCAATTCATGTGATTTGACCTAGTGCTTGTGGTACAATAGGTTGCTTCTGTTATGACAGTATGGAATCATATACAACCAGATTATGCTGCTAACATGTGGAATGAAGCCTTGAACAAGCGACTTGGAACTAAGGTACTGTAAACATTCTTTTGTTCTTTAGTTTCATTTCTATCATTTAGTTTGTTGAATTCTGTTATGGTGTGAATTGGTGGTAATTTCAAATGAGGAAAATGTATTACGACATAATTCTGTTTGTGAAACGGTACATATTCAAGTTGCATGCTAAGCATCCTCAGTTTAAGTACATGTTTTTGGGAAAAATGAAGTAGCTATGAAATGATATGTGAAATGTGTTTTTTATGC